GAGAGAGAGAGAGAGACCGCAGAGGGTGAGAAGGGAATTTTTTAGTTTTTTTTTATTTTTATATTATATAGTTTGTAATATACAATTTGTGGCGTTTACTGCCAGTAGGGAACATCAAGACTGGTTTACTAACAGGAGGTCTCACTCTAACAAACTTCACTGTCTCATATATTGTGGTTTAAATGTGTTTGTTCTTCATTCAGTGAAGATCTTCATTTTAAGGAAAAAATGAAGTTTTCTCTCATATGGATAAATATCCATGTGAGAGAATCAGATTGAGTAACTTGAGTACGTCGAGTAACTTTTTTCCAAATATTTACTCAAGGTAATTACTTTCCACTGCTGGCTTTATTTATTTTATCTCTGCTACATTCAGTTTTAGATTTTTAAAATCAATACAAAAACACTATAATCTTTACTGTCACAAGATGGCGGTGTTGATCTTGACCGCCAAACTCACCGGAAGTCTCGCATTGCTGTCTTATTGTCACCGGAAGTGTGTCGTTTCAAAACATTGACAGCTGAGAAGCGGCGGCGGGTAGCAGCTGCCGCTCGGTCACGTTTTAACGCTTTGAACGGATTTCCAAGATGGCGGGCCCACTGCTGGAGTTCGAGACCGAGATGTTTCTGGGTCTCTTCGAGTCCGACGGGCTGCTGGTGGCGGCGGAGGGGCTGGGGATAGACCGCGTCCTGCTGCAGTTCATGCGGGTTTACTCCGAGGAGGGCAGCCTGGTCCTGCTGCTCAACACAACCACGGCCGAACAGGTTCGGAGGTGGTTCGTTTAGCACCGGGGCCACTCGGTACTGTCCTGTTGTTATGGTGGTTTGGGTCAGAAATCACCATGGCGACAGCTGTCGGCTAATGGTGGCTGATAGAACCGTTACTAGTGGTCGTTTGCTCTCTAAGGGAAGTCCTGCTGTTACTTTCAGTCGTTATGGAGTTAAAATGTTTAACTTTACCTTCTGATGAATTCTGTAGCAGCTCAGGTTGCAAAACGGTCAGTGAAACAATACATAAGATGGTAATATAAAAATTATAATGGGAAAAAGACATTGATAGATTAATTGGTGTAAATAAAACATTACTTACATTTACTGTGCATTTGAAATATATATTCTGTATATGGCATATTTACACAAATAAATTGTGCATTCTAGATTAAAAGTAGCGTTCCAGTTTTTCCACAAGTCTAGTATTTATTTACTCATTACATCGAATTCACTGTGTGAAATTGTCAGCCAGTTTAGCTCTGCTGCAATATTTTAAAGAATAAAATAAAAATTAAGAACATGACAACAAATTTAGGTGTAAGAAACTGAGACTTCCAAATCAAATTTTTATTTTAACATAATGCTTTCCAAAGTGATAACTTATATGATTTACAGTCCATTAGTTTAATCTTCAGGTGACAGATAAAACATATGCTTTGAATGAACGTCAGCAGGTAAACCATGAAGGAGTGTGTCTGGTGCGTTTTGGGTCGGATACCTTAATCCAGAGGTTCCCAAACTGTGGGGCGCGCCCCCTAAGGGGGGCGCCGTGTCATTGCAGGGGGGGGGGAAGCCGTCTGGATGAAAAAACAAAACAAAACATGAACACTGTATGCGCTGGGTTTTTACCTTAGAATGGCCAACTCCGTTATTCCTATGTCAATTTGATACAGTAGAGGCTTCCACACTTCCCATATTTGTGTCTTTTATCAGCAGTTAAAACTGTTTAATCCCTTGTTAACATGTTGTAACCTGTTTTTCCGAGCCACCTTTGAACGCAACATGAGCGCTACGACGCTCGCGCTGGGTTTCCACCTGTGAAGGAGACCTGCTGCTGCTGTGCGGAGCTACGTAGGTTTGTGTTAGAATCACGGCAGCAAACCAGCAAAACGCAAAGAGCTTTTCACAGTTTTTCCCTCCAAACTAACAGACTGAGTTGAGTAAAGCTGCTGGATGCAGGTAATGTCAGCTAAAAGATGTCTAGCTAATGTAAGCTAAAAGATGACTAGCTAATATCAATACAGAACCTTAAGCTGAACAAGTAGCCTGTAGGCTACCGATGTTGGTGTCTGTTTTCAGCTACGTACATTCATTTTGCCCCCAAAAAGTCGATGCTCCCCACAGCCCCCGTGACATGCGTCGTTTCAACCAGACAGCCATTTGTAATCCATAGTGGGGGGGGGGCGCAGAAAATGTTTGGAAACCACTGGGGGGGCGCAGAAGAAAAAGTTTGGGAACCACTGCCTTAAACCCAGGCTGGTAGAGGAGTCAGAACTTTTACTCAAGTAGTGGAGTTATTTCATGATATTACTAAAGTAGAAGTAATAAGTATAAATGGTTTCTCTGCATCGCTGCTTCAGACATCATTACTTGACTTCAGTTCTCCGTGTTCAGTGTCATCTGGTTGTGGACCTTCAGGTTTCACCTTTACGTGACCTCTGGGTTTCGGCCCGACCGGTGACCGTCCTTCTGCTCCTCAGGAGTATTTCACGGAGCAGCTGCGGGTGGAGGGCGTGGCCCACCTGCCCAGGACGGTGACCAGCGACATCCAGAGCGCCGAGCGCTGCGGCGTTTACACCGGAGGGGGGGTTCTGTTCGTCACCAGCAGGATCCTGGTGGTGGACTTCCTCACCGACCGCATCCCCGCCCACCTCATCTCAGGTCAGAGACAGACCAATGGAGGAAGAACTGCTGGGTTTATTTCAGCCAGTTCACTTTACATTTAACATTTTTATCAAACTTTTCGTCTGGTTCCCTGCTAACAGGACGCCAACAATAACTCTGTGAAGAATCTGAATAATAAGTTACATCAATGTTTTATTTCCCTTTGGGATTAATAAGTATTTTTGAATTGAATTGCTGCACATTGGCAGCCAGCTGGCTGAAAAGTGGCATCTACATTTGACTATACAGACATGAATCGGTCTAATCCAAGTAACACTGTTAGCAAGCTGCTGCTACATGAGCAGATAGCCTGACTAATAACCAGCTCTGGAGTTTAACAGCGTATTCCTTTAATAACAACCAAAATATTATGATTTAAATGATCAAACTGGTAATATTCAATATGTTATGTTACTTGTGACTTTATGCCACATGTTTGCTGTTTTGTTTTTATCTTATTAAGTATTTACAGTTTCTGACCTATAAAAGGAGCTTTACAAATAAAGTTACGCTAGTAAAAACAATTGTATCTGGAATAAAAGATTAAAATAATGTCAGTTTAGTTCATTTGTTTTATGTTCATATAAAACAGAAACTATAACTCTTTATTTATCATCATTTTCCTGGTGAAATCCTGCAGGTAAAGGAGGAAGTGTTTCTTCAGGACCATCAGTGGGAAAGCGGATGAAATCATGACATTAACATTTCATGAATGAATTCATGTTTAACAGGCATCCTGGTGTATCGGGCTCATAAGATCATGGAGTCGTGTCAGGAGGCGTTCATCCTTCGTCTGTTCAGGCAGAAGAATAAGACCGGCTTCATCAAAGCATTCACTGACAAGGCCACTTCCTTCTGCTCGGGTTTCTGCCAGGTGGAGCGGGTCATGAGGAACCTGTTCGTCAAGAAGCTTTACCTGTGGCCCAGGTGCAACAAACACACAGCAGTTTACCTGCAGAGGAGAGCAGGAGACTGACGTCAACACGAAGGAGTCTTCATGAAGTCATTTGATAAATAATGACACTTTTAAGGCAAACTTGGTAACACTTTATTTGAAGGGGGTGAATAAGACTGACATGACACTGTCATAAACATGTCATAACACCTGTCATAAACATGACATAACACCTGTCATAAACATGTCATAACACCTGTCATAAACATGTCATAACACCTGTCAGGAACATCAATAAGCCTTCATGAATATTTATGACTGTTGTCATAAAGCGTCATTCGGTAAATTATGACACTTTTAAGGCAAACTTAAATGAAAACTTTGATTAAAAGAGTCATTATTTACACACATCATAAAGACTCCTTCATGTTTATCACAGTCTTATTTTTATGTTTAGTTCATGTCAGTCTTATGCTCACCTCTTCAGATAAAATGTTCTCAGATTCCAGGCGTCTGTGAACGCAGCGCTGGACAGACACAAGCCGGAGGTGGTGGAGCTGCACGTGTCGCTGACGCCGGCCATGAGGGCCATCCAGAGCTCCATCCTGGACATCATGAGCGCCTGCCTGAAGGAGCTGAAGCGCTACAACCCCAGCCTGGAGGCCGAGGACCTGTCGCTGGAGAACGCGCTGGGGAACGGCTTTGAGAAGGTTTCTGCTGTGGAGCGAAGCTCGTTTCTCCTGCTCAGCCGCCTCCACGTTCCTTCATGGTCTGCTTCTCCGTCTCCAGACGATCCGTCACTACCTGGACCCGCTGTGGCACCAGCTGGGAGCCAAGACCAAGGCGCTGGTCCAGGACCTGAAGGTCCTCCGGGTTCTGTTGCTCTACCTCACCCAGTACGACTGCGTCACCTTCCTCAACCTGCTGGAGTCGCTGCGCTCCAGCCAGAAGACCTTCGGCTCCAACTCAGGTCAGACAAACTAAACCACCTTAAAACGCACCGATCCACTTCTTCCGATACCGATATCTGAGGTTTAGTATCGGCTGATACCGATCCGATACAGAAAAGCAGATGAACTGACATTTCTGTTTTTAAACATAAATTTCCTCAATTACAAATTTATTTGATAATTCTGAACCAGTTCAGCTAATTAAACCTCCATTCTGGAACCGAGGACCAGATTTATTACAGATAAATAAAATACAGAGGTTCAAAAACTAGATTCTGGTTCATTAACATTTCTGCTTTGGAGTAACTAGAACTATAAATATAGATCCGCTTTTACTCAACACAAATCGTCTGGAAAAAAACAATCAGCACAAATAACTGAGAAGCTGTAGATCTCCTTATGGCTACAGACATGATAAAACTCATCGGTTAGAATGTCCTAGTCAAAGTTCAGACCTAATTAATACTGAGGATCTGTTTAAGACGTGAAAACGTTCATCCTCTTCACCTTCACCAGCTGCTTTGTGCTTAAATCCCAGAAACACCCGGCAGGTTTCACGTGAGGCCTGAACGTTTCGCTGCTCTGACTTTCCTCCTTTGGTCCTGTCAGGCTGGCTCTTCCTGGACTGCAGCACCGCCATGTTTGTCAACGCCAGGAGCCGAGTGTACCGCTGCCCCGACGGCGGAAAGAAACCCAAACTGACCGCCGAGGACCACAAAGGTACAACTTCCTGTCTGCGACCCTCACTTCCTGTCTGCAACCCTCACTTCCTGTCTGCGACCCTCACTTCCTGTCTGCGACCCTCACTTCCTGTCTGATTTTCTGAAGGTCAGCGTGTCGCGGAGGTCAGGCGGGAGCTGGTGCTGGAGAAGAGTCCGAAGTGGGAGGTTCTGACTGAGGTTCTGGACGAGATCAGGAAGGAGAACCAGGAGGCTCGGCCAGGTGAAGCAGCTGGTGAACTTAAACTCTCTAAAGGTCACAGATAATAACGATAAAGGTTTTGCACTTTAATTTCTTCTCAAATGTAGAATTATTTCTGGAAATGTTCCCACAGATGCTCAGGGAGTTTTTGGTTTAGCTTTTAATCCAAATATCTTAGTAAACTTAAAATAAGATAAAACTGACTCATAGTAACTTGTCAGTAAGATGGAGGAGCCGGTTCAGTCAAGAGTCCTTCAGGCTCTCGTTCCATTAGCAGATTATTTCAAATGTTTTGTTCTAAATAATCTACCCGTGGAACTAGAACTGTCTTCTGCTATAATAAAATAAAGATATTTATTTTATTCTGCATGTTGGGAACTGGAGGATGTTATTTCCAGAACCTGTTGCGTTTCCATCACTGAACAGAAACAGCAGCTGTGAAACGTTTTCTGTTTCATTAGCAGAATATTGACAGATTTGGTGACGTCTTTAAAGAAACCGGAGTTTTCTCTGCCGTTTTAGTTAGTGCGCCCTGTGGAGGGGGTGTGAATACTTTTTCCTGTTGCAAACAGGAAGTCTGTCTCTGCGCCTGCAGGTCGGGTTCTGATCTGCGCCAGTGACGACCGGACCTGCGCGCAGCTGCAGCAGCTCATCAAGCACGGCTCTGATTGGCTGCTGAACCGGCTTTACGCCCGGACCGTCGGGAAACGGGACCCTGCTGCAGCGGCCGCGACCTTTGACCCGGACTCACTGAAGAAGGGGAAAGGTTGGGTGAAAAAAGGAGGGAAGGGGAAAGAACCGGCGCAGAAACGAAGCACCAAGACGGGGAAAAGCCGAACTTCTCTGACCCTGACCCAGATGATGAGGAAGGACGAGGAGGAGCAGGGTGGCGATGATGATGAAGATCACCTGATGGAGGAAGAGGAGGAGCAGCTGAACCTGAATCTGTCGTCTGACTCCTACTACGGCGTCCTGAAGGAGCCGCTGACAGTCATCCACCCTCTGAGAGGCTGCTCCGACCCGCACAGCCTGACCCGGGTTCTGCAGGAGGTCCAGCCCGCCTTCGTGGTTCTGTATGACGCCGAGCTCAGCTTCGTCCGCCAGCTGGAGGTCCACAGAGCCGGCCGGCCCGGGAAGCCGCTGCGCGTCTACTTCCTGATCTACGGCGGCTCCACCGAGGAGCAGAGGTACCTCACGGCGCTGTCCCACGAGAAGAAAGCCTTCGAGCTCCTGATCAGGTCAGAACCGGGCCGAAGAGCCGACCTTTGACCTCACTGCCTGTCTGAGTGTGTATATCTACTCACTGTCTGTGTGTGTATGTCTATGTAGAGAAAAAGCTACCATGGTGATCCCAGAGGAGAGAGAGGGGCGAGAGAACACCAACCTGGACTTAGCCAGGAGTTTAGAGCCGGCCAACAGCGCCACCAACAGCAGGAGAGCAGGTCCGTTTGGTTCCCGCAGCTTAGCATACCACAAACTGCAACATTTTCATCGTCACAAATCAAATCAAAGCAGAAATGGTCTTTTTTTTTCATGTTCACACAGAAAATCAGCAGTAAAATGTTTCTGTAAATCTGAAATCCTGTCAGAAACTTTAAAGCTGCAGTTTCACTTTTATCAAATCATGTTTTTAAATATTTATTAATCTGTGAGAAGATCAGCCTCCTCACTGAGCTAAACAACCAATCAGAGCCAGGAGGCGGGGCTTAGTGCTGTCAATCAGGCTCATGTATTCACTGCTAAATCTACTAATTTTGAAACATTAAACATTTAGGATAGCATCATTAGTGGCTATGCTAACTAGCCTTAGCATTCACAACATGCTATGCTAGCTTCAGTGTAGCAGAAAGCAGGGCCATGATTGACGGCGCTAAGACCCGCCTCTTGGCTCTGATTGGTTGTTAGCACTGGGAGAAACAGATTACCTGTCAACCTGGTGACGGTTTCAGTAATGTGTAAAAATGAAGGCTGTCCTTCCTGCCTCGGCCTGCAGGGGGCCAGGAGCCGGGCGCTGCGCCCTCCAGGGTCATCGTGGACATGCGGGAGTTTCGCAGCGAGCTGCCGGCACTGCTGCACCGCCGCGGCCTGGACATCGAGCCCGTCACGCTGCAGGTGGGCGACTACATCCTGACGCCCGACACCTGCGTGGAGCGGAAGAGCGTGAGCGACCTGATTGGCTCGCTGCAGAGCGGCCGGCTCTACACACAGTGCCTCGCCATGACGCGCTGCTACCGGAAGCCGCTGCTGCTGATCGAGTTTGACCCGGCCAAGCCGTTCTCCCTGACGGCCCGCTCCGACTTCCGCAGCGAAATCTCCTCCACCGACGTCTCCTCCAAGCTGACGTTGCTCACGCTGCACTTCCCCCGCCTCCGGATCCTGTGGTGCCCGTCGCCGCACGCCACCGCCGAGCTCTTCCAGGAGCTGAAGCTGGGCCGGGCCGAGCCGGACGCCGACGCCGCCCAGGCCGTCACGGCCGAGTCGGACGCCGCCGGCGAGTCGGCGGACCTTTACAACCCCGGGCCGTACGACTTCCTGGTGAAGATGCCGGGCGTCAATGCCAAGAACTACCGGGCGCTGGTGAGAAGCGCCGGCAGCCTGGCGGAGCTGGCGGGGCGGAGCCGCGACGAGCTGGCAGCCGCTCTGGGGAACGCCAACAACGCCAGGATGCTGCATGACTTCCTGCACAACGCTGCAGATGTTCCAGCTGCCGTGCAGAAACACAAACTGACATCATGAATTATGGTTTATACTTTATAGAAAAAAAGTAAAATTACTGTAAAATAAAATGGACTCCTGTTGGACTTTCTGTATGTAAAATTACTGAAAATTATGCTTTTATTTATTTTTTATTAAAGCTTGGAACCCTGGAAATAAAGGCTGTTACTTTTCATTTAAAATGTCACAAACCAATAACTGTTCTAGTTTTATGCTCAGGTTGTAAATACTAAGATGAATTAATGTTTTGTCAATTTTTTTAAATATACAATGAAATGTATATTTAAAAGTTACTGAATACTTGATTTGCCTTTTTATCAAAAACTTTTTACTCCCATAATTTCTTGGTTACTTTTTACTTTTTCTTGTTTAAAAGTATGCTGAAGTAAAACAGTCTAATTACGTCCGCACCTGTATTTTAGTTAAATCTGATTATAAAGTTTTATAAATTCAGTTTAGCATCGTATTCATTCTTTTGCCGAACCGTGTTTAAATAACCTCAGTTAAATTTTCCTAAGTGTGTGAATCCCTGCGGGCTTTGAATCCATATGGAGGCCACGCCCCTTCCCCCTCCAACGTCTTGACGTCACTGCATCCCGGAGCCAGACGAGGCGCAGCCATTTTACTCCGCGAAATAAACTTCAGCTCCTTATTGAGACGGCAGGAAAAGAAAAATCTGTTCCAGCCCGATGGGCATGTTCTGATCCACGGCTCGGATGGGTTCTGCTTTCGAGTCGACAGAGTTCGGTAAGAGCCCACTAGCCGGGTCAGTTCTGGCTTGTTTTTAGCCTGCTAGCCTGAATGAGCTAACTGGAGCTAACCAGAGGAGGTTGTTGTTGGGGAACGGGTCGGGATGTGACACTGCGCGACAGGAGGCGAGCGGGGGAGAAACTACCCAGGGCCGCGTGGGAGAGTGGGCTCACTACCGTGGGACGTTTTTCTGGAAATGACAGTTGTCGCTTCACCTTTGACACCTGACGGTTTGAGTCTCACCTGTCAGGTTTAAAGTAGCTAGCCAGTGCTAGCTTATCCCACACCCACTCACTCCCACCAGCGGTCCCACGGTGATGTCACTCGCTCAGAGACACCTCACCTGGTTGCCAGGTGGCTGGTTTGTTCTCCAGAGGTTTGGACTGTATGCTAAGCTAACAAGTTGTGTGAAAAAGTTCTTCCTCCTCATATGAAACAGTCTTCATATGCTCTAGGTAAATAATAAAATGCGCTTTAAAGCATCAGGCACAAAGGTTGTGGGCAGGAAGTGACATCATGTGGTGGGTGGATCTTTTTTAATATCTGGATAAAATTAATACAAAGCCTCAGAAAGTGTAAATATTAAAGTCTAGTTGTAGGCCAGCCTGAACAATCAGGTGACTCGCCTCCATTGAAAATCATCCTGTTTCCTCTTCAGTTACTGATGATGCTAACAGCTAGCGTTCCTCGGCTTAAACTTCCACACTGAAGGCTGTTGCTGAGGCAATGAGCTGAGGCGCCTTGATTCCCCTGGAAAAGGCCAGATTTTTAATAATATGAATAAAATTTAAACGTATTTTTCAGTTTTAGTGTCTCCCAGTTTGAACTGTGATTTTCTACCAGATAAAGGTTCAGTCTGAGCTTTAAGTAGGACATTTCATCTCTGCTTCCTGTGATCAGCTCAGCATCTTCAGAGCTATTCTCCTGACTCACAGATTACAGATTATTTAAATCCACTAATTTGAACATTTTCCCTCTTCAACATGCAGTGCGGTTTTTTTGATTATTAATCTGAACGTGTCGGTGGTTTGATTCTCTTTTTCTGGGTCTTTATCTCTGGCATTCCTCTCATCCAGGCCTGTTTGTAGTAGAGCTGACCTTTGACCTCCTTCCCTGTGTTGCTGTTGTGGAGACGCCTGTCTGTTATTCCTCTCATTTCCTCGTTTTGAACCCGCTCTTTAATCAGGATTATGAAATATTGATCTGTTGTTGCCATGGAGCCCAGTTTTCTGTTCCTCCATCTGAGATAAATTTTCAGGGATTTTTGTTTTTGTGTGGCGGATCTGAAACCTCTTTGCTTTTGCTGGACTAGTGCAAGCTTTGATTAGTCCGTGGGACCCAGACCCACTTCAGATTAATGACCAAAACATTAATGATTAATGGAACAAATGTTAGAAAAACTACCAAAAAATTAAAAGTTGGAAATGGTTTGAACATAAAATATTTACTGTGAGCTGTTCAGCTGAAAAATACTTTGAGAAATTAACCGTAACTCCCATCATGAAGAGGAGGTGTGGCTGGTGTCCTGTAGAGATCAGTGTTGCAGCGGCGCTGCAGAAGCCTCTGACTGAAGACACTCTGCCGTTGAGCTGATGGTCTGATGAAAACCGTCAGCTCAGCTCAGGGTTTTTGTTTTGGGACAAAAGTCGGTTGAGAGTCGCGTTTTCCTGCGTGTGATCGTAGCTTTAGCTTAAACTTTTATTTTTCCAACATTTACTGATTTTTAGTCGTTATGCTCGTTAAAAGGCATCAGCTGTGCGCTGATTGAAGCTTTCCCATCAGCCCCTGCTGCAGCTCTGTGTGTTCACTGGCTTCACCCGGCGTTTCCAAGTGCTGCTTCATCATCGTCATGGCTTTTGCTCCCCACTCATCTTCAAATGCCTGCAGCAGCATTTCCCTGAATGGTCGCTCAGCGGGCCTCATTAGGGCGACGCGACCGCTTCCATCAGGAAGCGACAGTTTAATCAACTGATCAAACTGATCAGTTTTCTTCTTCTGATGTTTCATTTCCGTCCAGTAAAGCCGTTAATCTGAATCAGAGCGAGTTTATTTTAATCTTTGACTGTTTGTTGGACTTTCTGTTTCTGCAGCCAGAGGAAGGAAGAAACTTGACCCGTTTCTATTCTTAGTTTCCTTTGTCATCATGATGTCATCGTCTGCTGCTGAGTAACAAACCATTATTCTCCAAATATTTCAGGTTATTTGTGGCTCCGCCTCCTGCTGGTTTTCACACCTTTAACTTCCTCCCTGATGCCTCTGGCGCTAACATCTGCTTTCTTTTTTATTTTATCTTTATTGATTCCCAATGAAGCAAATTTTACAAAACATTTAGACACAGCATCATAATTTCAGTACTTAGGAAAAAGATAAGAAGACCTGGCATTATGATAAATAAAACAATAATTTTTACTTTATTTCCCCTGGAAAGTTTGTGAAGATCAGAATAAACTATTGCAAAAGAAAAAAAAATAATAATAAAATACACAAACTAAAAACATGGGACTGAATGATAAAGTTTATAAACTTGGTCACTAAAAATAAAATCAGACCTTCTGAGTTTCATTTAATCCACCAAACTTTGTCACCGAAAAGTTTGTTCTCAACCAATCAGAGCCAGGGGGCGGGGCTTAGCGCATAACAGCACTAAGCCCCGCCCCCTGGCTCTGATTGGTTGTTTTTGGTTCATTTCTTCAGACAGCAGCAGATTAGAGATGGATCAGTTCATTTTATCTGTTTCATATTAAACAGAAACAACTTAGAGTCAGATTTAATAAATGTGTAAAAAAATGTTTTTTTATAAAAGTTACTGCAGCTTTAAGGCCAACAGGAACATCAAGCTGCTTCGCTCCAAACACAGTTTCTACTTCCTGCTGACATGTCTTCTCCCTGCAGGCTGCCTTTCTTAAAGGGCCAGTGACCCAGACCACTCTCTCTCGCTCTCCCCGGCCGCCCCCCTCCTGAGGCAGGATGGAGCCCTGGGCGCCCCGGCGGCAGCTCACAGCAGAGGGGGATTGTGGGATATCCAGCCTGTTGGTGCCGAGCCCACAGAGCGAGGCGGTGACCCACGAGATGGAGGAGCTGTCGCTGCAGCCCACCCAGAGCCTACCGCCGCTCAACGAGCGCAAGAACGGTGAGAACACGCTCTGCTGCTCTGGCGACAACGCTGCTGCTGCGGCGACGCTGCTGCTGCGGCGACGCTGCTGCTGCTGCTGCAGCGACGACGCTGCTGCTGCTGCAGCGGCGACGCTGCTGCTGCAGCGACGACGCTGCTGCTGCAGCGACGACGCTGCTGCGGCGCTGCTGCTGTGGCGACGCTGCTGCGGCGACGACGCTGCTGCGGCTGCGACGCTGCTGCTGCTGCGGCTGCGACGCTGCTGCTGCTGCGGCTGCGGCTGCGACGCTGCTGCTGCTGCAGCTGCGACGCTGCTGCTGCGGCGACGACGCTGCTGCAGCTGCGACGCTGCTGCGGCGACGACGCTGCTGCTGCTGCTGCTGCTGCAGCGACGACGCTGCTGCTGCTGCTGCAGCGACGACGCTGCTGCTGCTGCTGCTGCAGCGACAAGGAGAATAAAGTCATAATATTGCGAGAAAAAAGTTGAATGAATGAAGTCGTTTGGGTTTATTTAGATAAAATCGTTTCTGAAACTGATCCAGAGTTTATCATTATAAAATATTATTATTATTTATGCATGTGGACCTAACGTCTCCTCAAGCAGCCATCTTGGCTGTAAATAAGGCCATCATCATCATCATCTTTAGCCTTCCCTGACTCCTCCAGTGTTTGGACCCGTCTGGTTCTGATCAGGACTCAGATGGCCGGCAGAGATCCGGGTCGTTACAGCGTGCCGCGATCTGATTGGCCCAACATTTAATCCCAGTTCTCCCAGGCAGACTGGCAGCGTCCCACCAGTGGAAAGTGTGAGTGGTAGTTTCCCAGCAGAGAGCTCTCTCTGCGGCGGCGGCGGCCATGCAGGTGCTGATGTGTCGCCATGTTGGCGGCTCCTCTGCTGCTGTCAGCAGAAACGACGACGCTCATTAAATCCTCCTGAAACCATGGAAACCAGCGGCTCTGGGCTCAGCCTCCTGTCTTAGTTTGACTTGTGGAGCGTTTCTCCTGCTGAGGGATCATCCTGTTAGAAACGCCGCAGGTCGGACCGAGCTCCGCTCAGACCTTCCTGTCACATCATTTATTTTCATAGAGATTAAAATCTGCAGTGCAGCTTCTGGATCAGAACTTTCTGTCCTTCTCTGTTTCATGTCTGATCTGTAATGTTTGTTCTGGATCCTTCACTGCAAAAACACAAAACCTACCAAATATCTCTGTCTAGCTTTTAACACACACACTTAGAATAAGACAAAACTAACTTACAGGAAACTTTTCAACAAGTTTCAAGACCTTGTTTTCAGTTTTCAGTCAGTTGTTTCAGAGCTACAGGAGGCCCAGATGATGAAGAGCAGCATGAAGAGGATGGATTGTATGTGAATGGAAATGTTATGTGGATATGCTGCCGATCTGACATTTGTGTTTTATTCTTATTGTTGCTCCTGCTTCCTAGACTGATTTCTCCTACAGGAAACTAATAAATGATCTTATCTTAATAATTCCTTAATATTGATTCTAAAACGTTCTAGTTACACTGATTATTTTTCACTTATAACATTTTCTCCTTATAATAATCTGCTCTTTTAACACTATTAAGAATTTACTGACTCAAAACAAGCTCCTACATTTTACTGTAAAGTTATTATAAAGTCTTATTTTTAGTGTACTAAGATGTTTGCAGTAGAAACAGAAATATCTGGTAAGGTTTTGTGTTTTAGCAGGTCAGTTGTAATGCGTTTAAAAATAGCAAACGGAAACATGCCGCCGAGCCTTTGGCCTCCTAAATCTGAATCCATCGTCTCTGTGTTTAAAAAGAAGCAGCTTTTCTTTTAAATTGCATTGGACCGTGTGGCTCGTTGTGGTCGCATTAATTTCCATGACTGTAGCTGAAAAATACGTAGAAAGAAAAAATGTAAAGGAAAGAACGGCAGCCTGTGACTGAGAAACAGAAGAAGTGATTAATTTAGCTGCAGAGCAGCAGATGTATTAGGAAGTCAGGAGAAATGGTGTGCTGAGAGGCAGCAGAGACCTAGCAGACAGGCAACCTACCCAGAGATTTAAAAGCACTCTGAGGAGAGCCAGTCTGCCTGGCATTCATCACATGTGGAGGTAATCACTTCAGACAAAAGAAATCAGTTAAAGAAAGAAACATTTTAACTAGTGGATGTAATTTCTGCTCCAGTTCTTGGTTACTGATCCACCAGATCAGGATGTTTCTGCCAACAAGGACAGCCTGTGGTTTTATTGGATATTGCAGCAGTGAAAGGAAGCAGCTCAAAGTCTCACATTCTCACAGCAACCTGATGCAACCTGATGTGCTGATTGGAGGAAAAGTCAAAGTAATAGTGGTGGGACTTGATGAACATTTTTAATTGTTTTAATTGTAGGACCTGAAATCAGTTTTTCTTCCACCATATTTTCCTTCTCGTTGTTTAGAGGTTTTTAGTGCTGATGTAAAGTCTCAGTGAGTCAGCAGGGATTTGAACCGCATGAGGAGAGTTTCTGTCTCTGGCGGCTGCAGAGCCGTTCGCATCGCTGCGCCTTCAGCATGGAGTCAGGATGAAGCAGCAACAGGGTGGGGAGGGGCACCAGACCCAGGAAATTCCAGCAGATAAGTCTGTGGGCTGTTCCTCCTGAGGACGAGTTTCTGTGCCGGTAACCCTCTATTGCCCCCCCCCCGTTGCCCCTCTGTTGCCCCCTCGTTGCTCGTGTTTGTGCCAGACTTTCTCATTCCAGATCTGTGAGGTCATCCCTCTCTCCCAGGTCAAAGGTCACGATGTGTTTGTGGAGCCGAGCAGCAGAACATTTCCGCCGACAGGAAGTCTGTTGGGAAAACGTTGCCCTGCATACTTTGACTAGGCCCCGTGTTGATGTGTGAGCTGAGCTCTGCGGCCCGTTTCTGCTTCTCGTCAGGTTGATGTTTTTCTGCGTTTTCTTTTCGTTTCACTCCTGGTTTATGTTGAAAACTTAACTTTAAGGTTCTGTCGGCTCTAGTGAACCGACAGAACGGAGGGGAAGACGTGGGGCAAAGTCTCCAGGCGGGAATCGAACCTGCGGCGGCGTGGAGGACTGAGCTGAACGCCCAGCGCCCCTGTTTTGAAAACTTTATTAACTGGGAATGCCCAAGTCTCTATTTTAGTAAAACTGGTTGTTTTTATGAATTAATTAAATAAAAAAAAACTTTTTTACATTTTTCATTTTAATGTCCGCTTTGAGTGATTTATAAGCCCGATTTCAAACCAGAACCACCATTTGCTTAGATGTTAGCAACTGTTTTCCAAGTTCTGCCTTTTTGTTTCGGGAGCACATTCAAAACACACCTGCTGCTGCAGCCACAAACTACACCTGGTCGGATTATTAGAGTACAGCTATGAACAGCACAACAGTTCCCCGAGCTTCACAAGGGCATCTTAAGACACTTTCCAGTGGTAAGTTGCTCTCTGTAACAGATTAATATGCGGTTCGGTTCGGTTCTGGTCCAGTGGGGAGATTCTCCATATTTCTCCGCTGATTTGCAGCGACACTCAGAACGGAGAACCTCGAGGTTCTGGTTCTGATGGATTAAATAAACCCAGATATTTTATTTTGTCTTATAAAAAAAGTATTGCTGCCCCAAACATAATGATAAAGACTCTGATCATGAACTTTATTATTTTTTAAATTTAAACAAAAAATAAAATTCACCTCACACCGAGCTAATATGTAGTTCTGGTGTTTTACACCGTCAGCGCTCACAGCAGCTCAGACTCTGACCTGCTTCTCTGCTTTTCTCTGTATTCCTGTCAGAGAAACGAGCTGCTAGCAGCGATGCTAACTCACGGTCATTACGTTACAAAATGTAGCGAACTGATTAAACTCAGTTATGATCCTCTGCACTGAGCAGCTCTCCGACAGCAGACGGCGTGTCTGTGAATATTGTACAATAGCCGAAAAGGGAGATGTAACTTCTATTATGAATATAGATTAGCAAAAAATCCTACAAATTACAGTGAAATACTGCTACTTCCGGTGGGCACAGGAAGTAAGACACATAATCGTTTCCCCAGTAAACCTCCAGGAATAAGGTGGATGTTGTCTGTTTTTGTTTTCTTTGAAACATTGATTTTAAATCTGTGTTTTCTGCCTGAACCTCCAAACCAAGTTTAGATGATCGGGTTCTGATTCAGGGCCGCAGACGGCCCCCGGGTCGCGCTTTCTAAGCGGCTCTCGGCTGATTCACGGACCTCTGGTAAGGTGAGGTCAGAGCTGGCCGGAGGTGATGCGTTTCCATGGTTACCGTTTGCTTTCGTCCCGTCGCCCGTGTCGCTCTGTGGTTGCTGCTTCATGACGCGTCTCTGCTCTCCCTGCAGTCCTGCAGCTGCGGCTGCAGCAGCGGCGGACCCGGGAGCAGCTGGTGGACCAGGGCATCATGCCGCGTGAGTAACGCCGCCGGGGGCGTGGTGGCGGCTCCGCAGGCCGCCGCCCGCTCAGGTCCGAGTCGGTAAACGTCTTCCAGGTCGGCCGCCGCAGGAAGACGAGGAGAACTGAACTCTGTGTTTGTGTCGCAGCTCTGAAGAGCCCAGCAGCGTTCCACGGCCAGATCCGCAGCCTGGAGCGAGCCAGGGTGAGAAAACTCCACAGCGCCTCCTTCAGGCTGAACGCGCTTCAGATTTCTGCTCTGAAGGGAAACCATGGAAACTCTGAGTTCATTATCCAATATGGCCGCCACTGATAGAAAGCATCAGAAACATTTTGTGTTATTAAACCAGAGATAATAAAATCTCTTTAGGGGAATTCTACTTTTCTTTTCATGCCTGAAACGGATGGAGATAAATTATTGATCATTATTGATAATAGTATTAATCTGAAGTTATTTCTGTCCATAACAGCAGAAGATCTGCATCTTTTATTTGAGATTTTACTAATTTATTAAAGCTGAGCTCATAAGTTTGTCTAATATTATGTATTGTTAGTAATCAATTATAGTGATGATTCATGGGGCACAGAGACATTTAACCACTTGAGTCTTTTTATAAAATATTAGAAATGGATTAAAAGATGTAAATAATAAATCGATTCCTTTATTAGAATCAAAAACATTTCTTGCCTAAAATGTAATAAAGTTTGAAGCGAAGGATTCGCCTGCAGCTGAACTGATCTGGAGATTATTATTGATTAATAATTGAATGGCTAAAGGTGATTGATAGATTTTCCAGAACTTGAAGCTGAAACTGAACTTCAGGAGTTCTGGTAGAACAGATTTACAGATGAAGAAAACATTAGTTCATTTGTTCTTTCAGCCTTTTCAGCTCCAGTTAAAACTCGATTACTAAATTAGTTGATTATTATTCCAGTGATTGATTAACCAGATGAGTCGTTTGCTGACATCCTGGCTTGTTTTCAGACGGAGAACTTCCTGAAGCATAAGATCCGCAGCCGGCCGGAGCGCGCCGAGCTGGTCCGGATGCACATCCTGCAAGGTGCTGCTGTCCTCCATCTTTGAAGCCGTGTGATGCGTTGCCGTTGCTGTTTTTCTGAGTGCGTGACGTTTTGGCTCCTCCCCCTGCAGAGACGGGGGCGGAGCCGTCGCTGCAGGCGACCCAGATGAAGCTGAAGCGTGCGCGGCTGGCCGACAACCTGAACGAGAAGATCGCCCAGCGGCCCGGCCCCATGGAGCTGGTGGAGAAGAACATCCTGCCGGTGGCGTCCAGCCTCAAGGAGGCCATCATAGGTGAGCCGCCGCCGCCGGGACGCCTCGCCGGGCGCGGCCCAAACTGACGGCTCTGCTGACCCGCAGTGGGCCAGGTCAACTACCCCAAGGTTCTGGAGGAGGACGGTTGCTACGACGCCGTGTCTCCAGAGCAACCGGCCAGCCAGGAGTCTCAGGGCTCCGCCCCCTCACCTGGAGAGAGCAGAGTCCCGGAAACCCCGCCGACAGGCCCGGCGCCCGCAGTACTGCCTGCCATCGCCATGCTGCAGGTCAGAGATGGAGCGCCCCCTGCTGGTTTCAGGAGGATTTACTCTCATGTTTATTTCAACTCTTTTTCTGCTGCTTCAGCCTCTTCCAGGCGCAGACTTCCCAAAGCCGGCCTCAGCCAATGAGCAGCCTCTCACCTGTCCACCTGTCCAGCATGCCCCGCCCACCGCCGCGCCTTCCAAACCGGGGCCGACTCTGGTCAAGGTGAGAACGACGCTCCGCCTCCCCTGAAGCAAAACAAGCGCACCTGGAGTGAGGACAGCCAATCAGATCACTGTAAAATGTCAAATATGACTTATGATGAGCTCACTGTGAAAACACAAAACCCTACCAGGTATTTTTGTCTAGTTTCTAATGAAAATATCTTATTACACTAAAAATAAGACAAAACTTACAAGTAACTTTTCAGTAAGATACAGAAGGTTATTTTCAGTCAGTCATTGTTAGAATATTGTTAAAAAATTATTTCACCTGTATCAAGGGAATAATCTGTCAATGAAACTAATACTTTTTAAAAATCAATATTAAGTATTGACTCTAAAAAGCTGAAAAGTTACTTAGATTAGTTATATTGTCAGTGTATGAATATGTTTGCATTAGAAACTAGACACATACCTGGTGTAGTTTTGTGTTTTACAGTGAATCATAAACTTCAGTCTGTTTTTACAGGATTGTATGTGATGGAGCAGCACAGCGTCGTCATGGCGATAGGCTGCTGTGTTTGCTGTTTGACTTTCTATTATATAACATTGTTATTGTACTTCCTGCAACAGTATATTATCATTATTATTATCTTTATATTTATTATTTTTAACGCTTTAGGAATGTTTTGTGTGAAGCCTGATGCAGGTCAGTTTATTCAGTTTCTTTTCTGATTAAATTCCAGCAAAGCCAACAGAAAAGTCTGTCTGAGAAGAGCCGCAGCAAGAAGGGCAAAGAGGCCAAGTCGCGCGTGAAGAAGCTGAAGTACCACCAGTACGTCCCGCCGGACCAGAAGCAGGATGCCGGCGAGCCGCCCATGGACTCGTCCTACGCCCGCCTGCTGCAGCAGCAGCAGCTCTTCCTGCAGCTGCAGATCCTCAGTCAGCAGCAGCAGCAGCAGCAGCACTACAACTACCAGACCATCCTGCCGGCGTCGCTCAAGTAGGGGACCACACACACAGAGACACACACACACAGAGACACACACACACAGAGAGACACACACACACACA